ATATAGGTTTAGTAATAGTATTACAATATATTACTTATAACATTTTAATTTATCTAGAATATAGTCCATACTGGATTGTAGTGTTTTTTTTTTATACATTTTCAATTTCAAATAGATATTTACAATATTATATTATAATATATATAAATAACTAAATTTTGTTATTTGTTTTAGTAAAAATATTATTCATTTAAGTAATAGGTAGATTTACAGTTATAATATGTACATTAATGTAGGAAAGTGGGTGAGAAAAAATATATATTATGTGTTGTATTAATATTAAAATAAAGTAATGTATTTAAAAGGTATTTTCATAACATGCAGCTAGATATAAGTCAGTGTTAACACCCAATCATAGAAGTTTTAATTTTAAAAATGTATAACACTATTATATGGTTTACCATTATTTTACTCTCCAATGATTAAACATTTTTCATTTTTTCACTACATTTTTGGTCATTTTAATTATGTACACTTATGTACTTAATATTACATATAAATGCTGGCCGTACGAGTAACCATAATATCTGTACCACAGAAGTAAACTAACGCAAGTCCATTTTTTGAAATTTTGAGTTAGTTATATAATCAGAATATGCTTTTTGTGATATTATTAAAGGTATCAAAACGTAAGTCCTATATAAAATAAATGCATAGATAGCAAGAAGTATACTAACGTAAGTCCTAAACTATGATAGGAGTATAGAAACGTATGTTCAGCGTTTACATAAGTAAATGATATATACAGATAATACATAATAATATTTTTGAAGTATACAATGGTAAGTCCATTGCAACAAATATTTTGTTTTGTCTCTCCTGTAAAATTTGCTTTTTGTGACTTGCGCTAGTTTACTTCTGTGGTACAGATATTATGTTGCATGATTACCAGAATAGATATTATATTATTGTGTTCAAACGGTCATAATATTAATATTAGTTTTAAGTTATGGCTTATTAATGATTTGATAATACCATGGTCCAAAAAAAAAAAAAACGTTCTTCAGTGAAGATGTTCGAACGCACGACAGCGATGCATCTATATTGCCTATACACTACGCCGTCGTACGTGACAAGCATACCTGTTCAATAATAATATTGTTTACTACACAATAGTCTTAGCTATATTATTCTACGTTAATACAATAATGTCAAAATATAATGTAATTAAAAATGTACAGTTAACTGTCAGAATAAAACTTCGAAAAACGTTTTATGATTTACGTCATTTGAAGTTGAACGATTATTCTATACATATTTGTAGTTGTCGATATTATGCAGTATAATATAATTTAATTAATTCAGAATTTTTTTTTTTCAGGTAAGCAACGGTCGGCGTACAGTATCAATAAACTTACCTGACTTAAAAGTCATTGAATTACGTAATGTATTATCTAATATTAATTATTACCTATGTTTTATAAATTATAATATTACGTATAGTCAATCAATAATACAGTATCGATTTATTCATGTATTTTAAAGTTTTCAAATTCAGAATAAAAGTGATGATACTTTATATATATTCTCCGTTCAAATATGGTTAATAAAAATGCATACACACTCGCACAGATACGAACAATATTATAATTGTATTCTTGTGTATGTACAATATCGTCGTTTATCGCCTATTAAACATACAAATGGTGGCAGTGGCGCCTAACTAAAAACTATAGTCAACTACTTATTAATTTTGACCTTCATTTTAAATACATATTATGTTCGGTTTACATATTAAATGTATTAATATTAATCAGTGTTTTTATAACATTGTGTATTTTATTTTATTTCATGTTTGCCTTAAATAGAATTTAGGTTTTATATTACATATTTATGATCCTTTGAGAAGTCCGGTGTTTTGAAATATTGAAAATAACTTTTGCGAAATAACATTTCAAACAAATTTGGTGAGATAGAAAGAGTTTTAAGGGTCAAAAAGTTTTGGAGAGAATTTCAAACATTTTGCGAACCTAGCTTAATATACTTTTTATAATTTACTTAATTGTGTGAGATCATCAAGACTTAAAGTATGCTGGTTTTAAGAATTCATAGTGGCTCTGTAACCGCTTTTATAATACCATAATTTATTTAATTTAGGTTAAACATGACCTTAAAAATCGAATTTTTGTGTTTATTTGTTTTTAAAATTAAATGTATTAAATAACACTAGTATTCTAAGTTGTGTATGTTACGTTAAAAACAAAAACGAATAAATATGTATAAAACAAAAATATTTTCATAAATGGTTATAATATAATAATATGAAACAATCAACTTACACATACGGCAGTTGAATAACAATTATAAATTATAATATTTAGTCGTGATTCAAATCGAATAAATGTTATCGTTTATAATTATATGTTTATATTATATTAGTAACTCTACCTATGTATCTACAGTGGGAATAAAATTGTAACTTTAACTTTTTAACATAATTATGTTTTTGGGATGAAAACAGATATTTTTATTTCTTAACCGATTTTGAGTAAAGCTTTGTTTAACACCGTGGAGACGAATAAAACGTAAGAAATACCTAATCCCCACTAGTGTATAAAAATTATTAAGGGGATTGGAAGCGGCGATTTTCTGTCTTTGTCTAACACACGTGCAACATAGGATTATAGACGTGTTCTATTTCCAACGTACCGATTAATCTAGTGAAGCGATAAGAATTCTGAAAACAGATTTGAATTTGTCGTCAAGTCTACTTGAGATCGATTTTCCCACATTTTTGATATTTTGATTAAAACTTCTCCAAAAATTGAAATATGGCAATTTTTTAATTAATCTTTTTAATATATAATTTTTATGATTTTTGGGGGATAATATCAAAAATGTGGGGAAGTCGATCTCAAGTAGACTTGACGACAAATTCAAATCTGTTTACAGAGTTCTTATCGCTTCACTAGATTAATCGGTACGTTGGACATAAAACACGTCTATAATCCTATGTTGCACGTGTGTTAGACAAAGACAGAAAATCGCCGCTTCCAGTCCCCTTAATGGGTTACTTATTATTTATTTTATTATAATATATTTATTATTTTTGAATATTTTATTATTTATTTATTTTGTTTATTTTATTCACAATTTAATGATTCGTAAATTGTCTTCGAAGTGGGAAAATATTGATTAGTGTGCTACATTTATGTCACAAACCACCACTTTATATAAGACGACGAATTTTTTACTATCTTATTCGCATAGGTAATCTGATAATTTCACGAACAGAATGTAATATTTACCCATACCAATTAAATATTTATACAGATATTTTATAATAAACAGTAGTTTATATGTATCAATAATAATAATATAATAGAATCCTATAAATTAGTCTTTTAAATATAACTATTTAATTAGTTGTATATTAAAAAGTTACATATACATATTATAATTGAAATAAATTGTTCGGTTGTATATATACATACATTTTTAATGAATTCATTTTTTTTAACAGCTCATATTTTATATTTTTAATTTTTTTAAGGGGCTCGATGTCACTTTTTCAAATGTTCCAAAATTCTATAAAATTTAAAAATGAAGTTTTATATTTTAATTCCCTTAATTTTTATACTTTTCCAATAATCTACGATACCTATTTAGAGGGTGTTAGTAGGGTATATTATATCGAAAAAAATTACTTTACTGGAATAATTCTCAGACCTTGTAGAATTGACGGATTTTGATAACAATTTTTTTGTCTGAAAGATGGAGACTTCCTACAAACCGCATTGACCTCTGATTTTTTATTTTTTTTTTTCAAATAATGGAATTATAAAACGGAGTTTGATGCAACCTGTAGAATATTACAATATTTTAGTTAGACAAAAAATTATCAATTTGGTTGATTGTACAGAACAGGATCATTATTCCCGTAGAGCGTTTTTTCGTGTGAAAAATTACATTGGCACCGGGATCCTCAAATCAAGGAGGTTCTTAGGTAGCTATAATTATATAAGAACATATGTAGGTACCTACAACCAACATGTTTTATATTTGTTGAGTAAAATAAATAATTCAAAAATGACTAGACTTTATTGTTATTAATAATAACATATAATAACTTATTATACTCCAGTGTAAGTAGAATAATGCAATAATCATGTCATGGCCATGGCCAAATATTATTACTTTATCAATAATTTTAATTTTACTAAATTGCAGTACCTACTGCGTATATTAACTATGTGACGATATTTTCGGATCGTTTAGTATTTTTGATTGCATATAACGTTAGATTATAATATTACATAGAAAAAGGGGAAAAACAAAACGAAATTCCTAACGTCTTTTTATTGTATAAAACACGTTATATCTTTATACAAATGAAATGTAATGGAATGAGCGAAAAGACGTAAAAAAATACATGGTATTTTACGTATGTCGTAAATAATTCTAGCAGACTTTGTTGATTTCTTGTGTATAAAAACCTGTATAAAAACGTCACCGACCGAGGTTAACGGCACATGCCTACCTAGTAATAATGTAACTCCCATGGTATACTTTTCCGGTTTTATTATTTTTATTCTTCTCAAAAATTTTGTCTTAGCATAATGTACGAAAACGGTACATGAAAAATGTTTCTCTTTATCGTATTGTAGGATTTGGTTAATGTATTCTCATTTTTCTACCTTATTTACTAACCGTCTGTTGTCAGGGATTCACAGTTCGGGGAAATCCCACTGAAGGTTCGAGAAAAATAAGAAAAACCGTATTAGGTACTCACCTATCTATTTGATAAAAAGCAAATGGAATCATATAACATTGTATAGAAATTACGAGTACTATATTGTATTTTCGTCTGTTACGACTTACGATCGTTTTGTAAGCGGTCAGTGGCCATTAGACGCGTTTAAAGGGTTGTATATAATAGTTGTAGGTTTGCGTTATTAATTGATAAAACGGAATTATTATGCCACGACATTAATTACGTTTTGAGACTGAAATAACGTCTTAAGCATTTCAACTCTTGTACTGCAGGGTTCTGTGTTTTACTAGAGAATATAACTGTTTTCCGGTATAACGCGCACTGTGTTTTTCGTATAAATAATATTACTATCGTGAGGTCCGGAGTTCTCGCTAAAGGTATAAGCCTTTTCACAGATGTTCTTCCGGTCGGACGTGAGATTTACAGACAACAGTAGTTGTAGTAGGTACGACGACTTACAATTTGTCATTTCCGATACCTCCACCGACACGCAACTGTCGTCGTTATCTATTTCGCCGTGAGATATCCCGGTTAGGCCGAGGTGACCCGAGTGGACGGCATGTCCCCCGGTGTCGGACTTCCAACTAGGGCGAGGCTTTTCCGGCAGGCGGGCAGACTTAATATAATTATTAAGTTCCGGTGGTTGACGTGCTGGAACACACCACGGCCGTGTGCCTATCATGGTTTGCTGGTAAGATATCTGTCAAACACCCGTCACAGCTGTGCAGTCGCCGCCAAGGCGTGTGCGGGTAACGGCGGCGTTGGCTCTCGGAGGTCCGGTCCCGAATAATAGTATTGTATAATAACAATATTGTTAGCGGCGGCTCCACGAAAGAGGCCCCTTGGACGTTTTGCCAATAGGATACCAAGCCTAAGCGCCAATGATTAATGGAATTCAGACGCAATATACAAGTAGGAACCGGAAGGTCGTACCGGATTATGTAAGGTATACATCTGGCTCGCCGTGTTGCATGTGCCTACACACACACACACACACACACACACATACTTATCTACATATATATGTAGCGCGTAGTATTAGCGAGAATTCACTTGTGGCCATATAAATGGTCTGGCAAAACTAACCTGATATACCCGCCTGCAAGCCCTGCTAGGATTAGTCGCGCTTTTGTATAATTACTTAATGTTAAGTTATATTTATACATTATATATATATTTATCAGCGTGTTCATTTGTTTTTGGACCTTTAGTGTTATCGCCACCGACGCCTGCTGCTGTATGCTTAATTTCACATCGGTAAATCCAGTTGTGGGACGACACGAAGCAACAAAAGTTGTCGTAGTTACTAAAGCTATTGTTCACCCAAATATAATTTGTTTGAAAAAAGTCATATTCGTGCTCGGTAGGTATTCTCAGTTCACACACACACACACTCATAGCACATAATATGATCTGTTGAAAATTTGTGATGTACATTTTTTGTATCTAATAATAATTTGAACAAAGCTTACTATTTATGCCATCAAATATAATAGCCTTTGAGGATGGAAAATACAATATTTATAAAATCAATAAACAATTTAAGTATACCCATCTAAAAAACAATATTCCCTGTGAAATGAATTTTTAAAACGATTAAACTTTCAATAAATTCATATAAAATCATATTGCTTTAAGAAATTATGACTACTTTTCTATAATATCTGAACATTTTATTATATGGTTAAAATAAGTGATGAGAGAAAATATACCTTATCGTTTATTATTAAAACAATACGGAAAAACATCAAAAAATTAAACGAAATAATTAAATGCAATAAAAGATTAAGACTGTGTTTTAATAAATTTGCATCTAAGGCGCATAATAATAACAATATACATTATAATAGATGACTGAAAAATTATTTAATAGACAAGTCGATTATAAAAATATTTAAATGGGAAAATAAAAGCAACTTTTTTATATCAGCTAGTATTAGCTAATTGTATGGGTACTATATGGGTCTGTTGTGTAGCAAGGACGGGAAGTGAGCTATTTGGGCATGGACCAATTGCGCCTAAAACAAAATTTTTATACTAGGGTCAGTGTACCAATTGCGCCTCTTATATTTTAGGGTCAGTGTACCAATTGCGCCTCTTATATTTTAGGTCAGTGTACCAATTGCGCTTGTATTTAAATTATATTATTCTAAATTGCCATGCTCAAATTAGTGTACCTACCTACTCGTATTATTATATATATATTAATATAGGGAATTTTATGAAACGTTATTATTATTACACACATATTTTGATCACAGAAGTATGCATTTGAGTGATGGACGAAAACAAGTTTTCAGACTAGGCAGACTAGCACATATATTGCAATAAATAGTATAGACCAAGAAAAATATATTTCAAATAGAGCATATTTAAAAAAAAAATTAATAATTAATTCTTATATCGATAAATACAAATCTGGGGAAATTAGTAGAAACGAATTTTTAAAAATTGGGTGTTATCATTGTAAAAATGTTTAAATGTGAATAATAATATTATTATGTACCTATTAATTTAATTTTGAATAATTGACAATCAAACTTGTGACCAGTGAGTGTACCCACCTATTAATTTATTTGTGTTATATATTATATTTTTTTTTAAATCATCATGTTATTATTATACCTAGTGGTGACCAAATTAATTATTTTAAAATAATTTAAAACTTGTGACTGGTTAGTGTACCTATTCTTTTATTTGTATTATACTTTTTTTTAATCATCATGTTATTATTATACCTAGTGGTAAACAAATATATTATTCTGTAAACTTTAATTATATTTTTCTAAATTGTAATGCCATGCTCAAATTATTATTTAAAAAATTATTATTATTCTTAAAACATGCAAAATACAAACATCATGATTACCTTAAACTCAAAATCTTATTATTATTATTATTATTATATCTTTATGATTTAACCACCTATTCTATTATTATTAATATTACCTATTTTATTTTAGTTTTCATTAACTAAACTGTATAGGCTCGTTTCACCGAAATAAAAAAAAATCGGTTATTAACAAACTTATAAGTTTTCCTTAGGTAATGTATTGAGCGCAATTGGTCTATCGGCCCTAAAATGTTTAGAGATGATGTGAAGAAAAAAATTGTTTATTTATTTATATTATATTATGTTTTATACATTAATACTGGCAAAAAATCGGTTAGTATAATAATGTATTATATGATTATAATTAATAACTAACTAATAACTTTTCCTTAGGTAGTGTAAAATGTTTTGAGCGCAATTGGTCTATTGCCCCTAAAATGTATAAAGCGCAATTGGTCTATCGACCCTACAATTTTTAGAGCGCAATTGGTATATCGACCCAAAAATGTTTAAAGCGCAATTGGTATATGAAAAGGTCATTTTAAGCGCAATTGGTAAACTCCCGTTTTACTGATCCCATGCATTGACTTTGCCGTGATCAATGTAGGCAGAGGCGTGATAAAAAATAGTATGTGTGGCTCGTACGGGAAGGCAATTTCGGTCAAGGGCGAAACTCACACACGACTCAAATAGCTGGGAGTTTACCAATTGCGCTTAAAATGACCTTTTCATATTATTGTATATTATTATATTTTTTATCACGCCTCTGCCTACATTGATCACGGCAAAGTCAATGCATGGGATCAGTAAAACAAACAGACTATTCTACGAAAATAATTTCATGAATGAAACGATTTGGTTCTATTTATTTTAAGAGTCATGCATGGAGGTTTGAACATAAGATGTAACGAAAAATGTATGTTTTGTAAAGACAGTGGTATAGCTGATTTCAGTGTCTGGTTGTGCGACGATACGCATGATATGTGCGCCCAGCACTTTTGGGGATTTCCATTTTACCACCAGGCACTTTTTGGAATTTCCACTTTACCACCCGGCACTATAGGGATTCCCACTTTACCACCCGCTGGACTAGAAAAGGGTAAGTTTCCAACGCTTCAACCGTCATCGAAAACTAAACTTCTATGCAGGCTTGACAACAATAATTAAACGGTTCTCTATCGTGAAACAAATAACAACAAAAACCACCGGTGGCTTAAAAAGAACATGAATACAATATTACAATCAATCAACTCATATTATTGACGTTCAATTTCGATTTGTAATAAGACGTGGTATTGTACCAGTGGTGTTTTTTAGGAATTTTTCATGGAGGGGTTAAAGCTAATTTTCCAAACCCATTTAAGTGGGGGGGCTCCACTAGTTGCTACAGAATATAATATAATATTATAAATAATATATTAGATGCTTAGATAGGTATTTATGGGGCCAATTGGGGGGGGGGTTCAGATCATAAACACGCCACTGTGTTGTACTATTTATTTGTCCCTGAAAAACTTGCACGTGAGTTTATATCTATATTTTACAAGTACTATCATGTGAGATTGTAGTTTGATTCGAGAAATGATTCAACGGATGGTTGAATCACTGACGAAACATACATAATGACGATTATTATCAAGGCCGAATGTTCAGCTCGAGTTTTGGACACACATAAAATGTAAAATTTCCACTCGAGACTCATATCTCTGGGTTTGATGACTACCAAAAAAAAAAAAATAAAAAAAAAATAGGAATTTCCATGATATCTAAAGTTTAATATAATATAACTTATGAAAAACGAACACATAGGTAATATGTTTCGTGAAAAATTGTTCGTATCGACAGCTTGTAAAAGTAATGTTGTTCCTTTAATTTTATATGAGGTAGAAAGAGAAAAAACAAAAAAAATAAAATACAATTTTTCTACACTACAATCAAAATAACAAGATGATATTGCGTTAGTCATATAAAATATTATTTGCATTTTTTATATTAAATGATATTATATTATATTTCGACATTATACATTGGTTTGAAAATAAATACCTAATGACACATTTGTACATTATGTAGGTGTACCTATTTTCATTTACAGGTTTCTATAATGGCAGCAACATAATATACTTTGATATCGTATTGATCGATTAAGACATTGTCTTCTTGGAAATTATTTTTTTTTAAATTTATTTTTTGGTAATTTTCAAAAATACCACCATCTATTTGAAACTCAAATTGATTGAGTAAACAATTGAAAAATATAAACTTAAAAGTTCCCAAGGTAAAAAAATAACAATATTTCAATAGTTATGACGGTTTCTTGTGAGTACACAATTAATACGATTTTTATAAAATAATGCATAATAACATTATATACATATTATGAATATACACAAATGATTCAACTTCATTAAGAATGTTTGAATTATTATAACTTATAAGATCATCAATTTTAGTAAATTAATTGTTGTTTTATTAAAAATATATCAGTTAATGAATTATTATAACAGTATTAAAAAAATATTTATTTTTAATTATTCCATAACTTTCGACTAGTTTCTACCTAGTCTTCCTCCCTAGATTTTTCCGACCCCCTTGGATATTTTACCTAAAATGCGTATTGGGTATATATTTTTAATACTTGTAATTTCATTATTGTTTGTTTTTTGCTGTTGTCATACAATTATAAGACATTTATTAATAATTTAAAAATTTGTATTCAGTAAAGATAACATAAATAACCTAAATAAACTTGAAAACATAAAGAATTCCATACAACAATGTTGTTACTCTGAGTTAAATTTCTAATCAATGTTTTACAATTTCTCTTACTCCTACGACTTAATTCTCAA